CMAAAAAAGAAGAGAACAACAGTAAGAATACCATCATAATTTTGAGCGACGATTCTGGAGAATCTGATAATGATATCAACCCAGAGAGACTAACTGATGACGTTAGAAGGTCACTAAAATATAACATCGCCTCCAATGATAGTATTGACCATGTGGACTTGCAAAATCTACTTGTGATTCTCCTGCTTTGTATCTCTGCCATTGTACAGCTCAGACAGTCCGAGCGTTGCGGACATAGTCAAACTCTGCACATTTGGTACAGGAGTCCTAGTTGTTTTTGTATTATAAATTTGCGTAGAATTAGTTTCTCTTAAGCTATGATTTGTTCATGTTTTACTAGAGATGTTGCACGGCATTTTAAGTGCAGTCATAAATAAATAAACTTCCTTCCCMAATTAYACCCAATAAGTATAAAATGCATGATTAAAAGAAGTGTTGGGATAAAAATTTGTTTGTTGAATAGTTATTTCACTCATTTCATTTTTCTTTTTTTTTCACTGTTTTTGTTTTGTTTTTTGTTTTGTTTTGTTTTTTGTTGTTGTTGTTGTTTTTTCTTCTTAATATTCAAAAATAAATAAAAACTGTTATTTTTACATTCGTGTGTCCTCGTGGTCACTCGTGTGTCCTCATGGCCACTCGTGTGTCCTCGTGGTCATCCGTGTGTCCTCGTGGTCACTCGTGTGTAGTTGTAGATCAGATCCTTTTTTACGGTGTTCAAAATGTATCTTATTACAAAACTGTCCGTTCAGTTGATCAATCAATCGGTCAGTTAATTAGTCGATCAATCTGTCAATCATTCAATCAGTCCATCAATTCACAACTTTCCATATTAAATCAGGTTCAGTAACCACGAACAAAGCATTAAACCAGCTCAGCTGTCGAGGAATAATGAACACCTCTGATCAATACACTGTTCGTGATCACCGAGCCTGTGCATGGACATCGTGAATCAATCAGACAATCAATCAGTCAATTATTTGGTACATTAGTCAATCAGTCAGTCAACCACTGGTGCAATCAAACAGTATAGATCATTGTGTTTGTTTTTAGACAGACATGAATTTAAACTATTGAATGAAATACTCATGTCTAATATGTAACTACTAGCTAAGGTTAACATATTTCTCATTTACAGGAAAATTACTAAACATCAAAGACACTTATAATCATCCGCTATTTTACAGAGGACTAGATGAAAAAACAGGTTTTAGAACAAAGTATGTCGGAAGGAATATTTACTTTTGAAAATTGTTTCTGGTACTTGCATGGTATCTCTGACTATTTGTCTAATTTTGCCTTTTGCAGAAGTGTCCTGTGTTTCCCAATCAAAGGAGAACAAGGTCATTTAGATGTCTCATTCATTTGTTCACCCATCCATCCATTTTTTCATTTATTTGTTTTTTATTTATTCTTGAAATTCAACTGCATATTTATTTATCAACGTTTTTATCCTTTACAGGCGTGCTTGGTGTTGCGGAGTTGTGYAATAAAGTAAACGGTAAGAAAGCAACCTCTCTAACTGACAATATACGACCTTGCTGGACAGTGGACGTAAATCTTTCAATTAAAGACTGGTTTTCCAGGAGCAAACGTTGTTGTACTTGGAATGCGCTTCGATTTCACTAGGAAAATCACTTGCGCTTGCTTTATCACTGCSTTGGGCATTGTTCAATACAAAATAAGGKCGTTTGCGTTTGCTCTTGTATCGCTTGTGAAAACCTGTCTTAAGTGCTTTTTGTGACGTCAAACCAGGCAATTCTCCCTGAGTTTCCGAGAACAATGCTTCTGCCATCTTGAAAAGTAAAACCCGAATCACTATGTTGTGCCTTAGAACACATTTCGTAGTTGCTAAGTCAACTAATCTATCATTATATCGTATTATATTAACTTGACATTAGCTTAGAACCTTTTTTGAAATTCCTTTAGGAGTTATAATTTTGTGTTTCGAGTCCCACTTTTCAAGATGGCGGATGTATTGTTCTCCGAAACTCCTGATGCATGTATTGTAGAGTTTATTCTGCTCGTTTATAATGTTGTACTTTATACTAGGTGGCTGTTTTACAAAGTTTGATGAAGATCTTACGAAAGCATTTGCTATCTACTGTGGAATAAGCATTTTCCAAGTAAGATGGATTCGATTTATTTTGAGAAAGCTGGAAATTATTAATGTAACTTTTATTTTATTTTTTTTCGCCTTTATTCCATAGTCTATGCTATATAAGAAAGCAAGTTCAGAAAGTCACCGAAGTCAACTGACAAGTGAAATGATGATTTACCATATGAATGTAAGTGAATGATACTTTTGAYTATTTACATCAAGTAACAATGAAGATAGACCTAATCGGCTAACGCGTTGCTATAAACGTTTCCACCCAATAGACCCCTTGCATGTGACGTCAAAGCAGCTTCATCTGGACGACAAAACAAAAGATTTTTATCCTCTTGGGAACTAGAATCTATTGTTTTGTCCTCCAGTTGGAGCTGCATTCCCATGAACTGCAAGGGGTCTATTCAAACCACCCGGGAGTAAGTTTCATTGTTCGTTGTATTTTCATTTCACAGTTGAATTCTTAGAAACAAAAGTTCTTTTTCCCACCGTACATAGCAACGCGTTAGCCGATTTGGTCTATTTGTCTGAGTACAGTGGAGCCTCTGTTATGCGGCCCTCTTTTTATCGGACACCCTCCATAAAGTGGTCACTGACAATTTACCGGAAACTCGGCTGTCAGATATATATTTTCTTTAAATTTGATCTTTAGCGGTCAACCTCTATTGAACGGTCGCCTGGTTTTCCCTCGGACTGACCGTTTAATAGAGGTTCAACTGTATTTCAAGCAATCGTCATGTTGCATCTTGGTCTTTCATCATGATTACAGTTCATCCTCATCATTTGCTGTCATCATCATCATCATCATTGGTATCAGCATCATTCTATTGAAGATTATTAACAATGTTTTACTATTTATTCCAGGTTCCTCAAGAAGAAGTTGATAACCTACTCAAGGTACCGATCCAGAATCAAGATCAATTCAGTCAAGACTTCAGTAAATTTGATTATATGCCAAGAACATTATTAGTAGAGCAAACTGTACCAGTAAGTAATCATCATAAATTTTACCACAATTTTAAATTTTATCGATTACTGATTAGTCGAGAGACGTGGTAAATAAAAGAACATACCACACTCGCAAGATAAGAGCTCGAAATAACGGCCAGACATATGCAGGACAAGATCTCCTTCCCAATTCATTTTTRGAAGGTCATATCGAATTTTGAAAAGACAAAAACTGTACACTTTTATTTTCTTTTAATTTATGGGTTTTTGAATTCAAAAGATGGTCAAGCATTTTAATAGCTTGTAAAAGATTTATTTAGCGAAATGGGATCTGATTTTTTTTTAATCTAAAAATGTAGCAGGTCAATTCGTCCTTTCAAAACCTGGTTTGGCCGGTCATCTAGCAAATTTGGAAGGACATTGTTCTTTCACTGGCCGTTATTTCGAGCCCTGAAGATTTTTTTTCTGGGATTGTTATCTAATTGTAGAATATTTTTTCGGGGTAAAAAAATCAAATTTATGATAGTTTCGCGTGGTATGTCCTCTTACTTACAATGGTTGGCGTCATCGAATCCTCAATGTAGTGGTATATCCACGAGACTAAAGTGTATTACTACATCATGTGAACTTATCCTGACGATGATAATAAGACTTGAAGTAGGATTAGACGGACATACTAAGAATCTGGTCGCTTCAGCGGGGTTGGTGTATAAGGCGTAAGGCGAGTTTCGACTCCCTGTATTGCGGTTTAAATTTTTAATCTTCTGCCGTCATCCATACTGCCGTCCGGAATAACTATAGATTCCTATTATGATTGTTAAAGCATTTGTGTTTACCGGGCCATAGGAATCTGGTCGCTTAAACGGGGTTGCTGTATAAGGCGTAAGGCGAGTTTCCAATTCCAGTAACGTGGTTTTATCTATTAATCCTCTGCCGTCATCCTTACTGCCGTCCAAAATAACTATATATCCTATTATGATTGTTAAAGCATTCATATGTTCACCGGGACAAAAGAATCTGGTCGTTTAAACGGGGTTCATGTTCACCTTTATTTCAACAGGCAGTATTGTATATGATGGATGACTTGGGATTCATTGAAAGATGGAAGATACCTAAAGAAATCCTTATAAGGTCAGATATAGTTGCTCTCTTGTGTTGTTACTAGACCTTGGTTCCGTGGCTAATTCAGCTACCGCACAGGGCTATTACTCAGCACTGCTACGATTGCTATACATTACTGTTGCTGCTGGTAACTATTTTTAAAAATCTATTAAGTAATATAYAGAAAACGTTGAATACTGAATACTGTAAAACTGCTCAGTGCATTCAAAGACCGCAATGCATTGTTGCTATTAAGCTCCACTTAAATTGCGGTACAAAATGACAATTTAAAACTTAAAAGGCCTTTTTCATGGTGCAAAATCCGCTATATTGGATAACAAAATACCTTCTGTGATGTTCAAAATAAACAAAAGTCAAGCTTGAAGGGCTGCGTTCCTTTCGTTTTTGAGGTTGTTTACATTCTTTTGCCATCCAGTATGGGGGATTTAGTACCATGTGACCGTTTCATTCAAAAGGCATATTGCTTTTCATTGAACCCTTGACTATACGGAGTTGGTATAGTCTCTCTGAAACTACGAAAGCTCCTCCGACCAACAATGCATTTCGGTCTTGGAATACACTGTCTTCAGTAATCAACGTTCTCTGTAAAATGCTACCCCTACTTAGTATAAACATACTAATGATCTATCACTCATACTGCGCTGTGATTGGCTACTCTACTAATGGTCTAATTTGTGATAGACCACTCGCGGGAAAATCAAAATCAATAAATTATAAATTATTTTAAGGATATTTCAATTTGTTTTCATTATCTGACCGATTAGTATGTTTATACTAAAACAATTAGACCTCTCGGCCTCGTGGACTACGAGCTGATAGCCCATTCGGCCTCGCGGACTCGRCCTCATGGGCTATTAGCTCGTAGTCCACTCGACCTCGAGGTCTAATTGTTAAATATACGCAGCTAACGTAAAGTTTGATAGCAACAATGCAATGTGGTCTTGCAGTGCATTATGCAGTATATTCAGTAATCTATGTTTTCTGWAATGGCTGCATTGATCGTTTTCAACCATTCCCCTGAGATACAAAAGATAAAAGACCGGCGGCCATGTTAAAGGAACGAACAATAGATACTGACAAATCCTTTGTTGAAGTTCCTTCAAGACGGCCACTGCAACTTGAAAACGAAGAATTCAACACCGTACTTATATCAACAGTGTTGATATTCTTCCATTCTTAAATTACGGGACACAAACACACAATATTGTATCTATACATACATTCTTGTACTCATAGATTCACGCTGATGGTGAAAAGGGGATACCGAGAACCACCCTACCATAACTGGTACCATGCTTTTACTGTGGCACATTTCTGTTATTTGCTTTACAAGAATACTGACATGGATTCAAGATTAACGTAAGTGTAGCAAACAAATTCCCTTTTCTAATACTGCTTARGTCTGGTTAGTTTTGGTATTCGCCATTATTTGGTCGTTCTAGTGTTACAGTTAACTCTCGTTATAATGTGCACCTTWAAGACTGTAMTTAGTGTCCGTAATAGAGRGGGTCGGTTATAAAGAGAGTTTTTTTCAGTGATTTTGTATAAGTGTCCGAAATACTGGGGTGTCCACAATACCGGGGTATCCTCAATGGGAGAGTTGCTTATGCGTCGATGYGGCTAGTTTCGTCTTAAGTGGCTACTGTAAAAGAAAGAATCAGTTTTATTATAGACGATAATCATATTCTGAGCACTTCAAACAAATAGCCATATGTCAATAAAATGATTTTCCATAAGCGTTTTTAACATGCAAAGGAGTTTTTCCGAGTACTTAACGTGTAAATTAGTAGAAACTAAGATAAGATGTTACCTTGCTAACCAAGGAATTCGCAACGTGGCAGTTCTATTGTTACATGAGTTAGAGAAATCGATTAATGTCTTCTTTTGATAAAACTGCAAATTTTCGTATTCTCATAAAAAACCTCCGCGTCAGATTTGTTTGTATAAATAAAAAGATAGCRATGATGAAACATTTCAAGCTTGATTTAATTTTAATCGGTATTTTACAATGATTTTGCTCTTGAAAAGTCTAACACAATTATGCCAAAAATGCGCAAAGCAAAATGCACACGTTCTAATAGGCATTTCTTTTTCTTACAGGGATATTGAAAAACTTGCATTGTTTGTGTCATGTCTGTGCCATGACCTGGACCATAGGGGTACTAACAATGCCTTYCAGGTCACATCGGTAAGATTTGCCACTTCCATTGTTATGATGATGATGAATTTATAAAACGTCATTCACAGGAAAACRCTRTTTRAGAACACTCCTGGTAATAGCTGATCCTTAACATTTATTTTYAATGGAATTGATTATTGATTTGAATGATATGACTTGAAATGCTCAACTTGGCGTGCACGACAGAATCGTGTCGTGTAAATGACTGTGCGACTAGAGGCGCAACCTGCGACTTGGTGCGATTTTTCTGAAGATTTTAATCCCTATGTTCAAAATCATATACCGCATTCATTCAACTTACACGCGACGTGTCGGCCATATGTAGCGCGTTGCAATTTTGTGGTGTATGTGTAACGCCAGGCCTTATGTTGCGTTGTCACATGCGTGTGCATGTCGCGCGTGACATAATTTCAATCGCTTGCTACGGTCGTCCTACAGTGTTTCGCCAAGTCGCCAAGGTGAGAAACATACCAGATAAAAGTATGGTTGGACAATATACGAGAAACATGTATCCCAGTTTGGCCCAGCCTTTAAGCATTAAAAAATGATGATTACACTAAAGCTCTGGACTATTTTTTTAGAACTCAACTCTTGCGGCACTGTACAGCTCAGAGGGCTCAGTAATGGAGGTAGGATGTCAACCACAAAAGGATATATATTTATAAGTGGATTTCATAAAGTTGTATCTTCGTTTGTAATAGAGCCTCTAGGATTACATTATATATGTGTCCAGCTAAATGAAATAAACGYAGTCGTGTTCCAAAAGGTTACGTCATGAAAGCTAAGGCCGAAAGGGAGCATGGGAAAGTATATTTTACGATTATAACAGTGTTTTAGTGTCAAAAGATGACCTTTCTACGAGTAATGCTATAATKTAACAAGTCTAGGCAAATATTCGGTGTATTTGAAARCCCTTTTTGCGTTAGCTCCGATGATGATCTTACCTTTTTGCGAYCCAACAACGGTTATTTTCAATTAGGTGTCTCTTCCAAGCAACGCCTTTGTTGATGTATGTATTGTTTATCTCTCTCAGAGACATCACTTCGCACAAACAATGTGCATCGTCAATTCCCCAGGATGCAATATCTTCAAGAACTTGTCAGAGAAGGTAATAAATTCTTTATTTACTTGACATATTTTGCCTTTTGTCCGCATTGTTTGATGTTGGCTAAAGCATTAAACTTGTCTGCTGGATGATCCAACGTGTTTGTATTTTTTTTCGTATGTGTATTCGTGACTATTTGTGGTACCCAACTTTCAATGAAAGCACAAAAAAAAGGAACAAAAAAGAAAAAACAAAACAAAACAAAACAAAACAAAGGAATTTGAACCTAAAAGCTAAGAAGAAGCTAAACATTATTGATGAAAGGACTTATAGGCAATCCGGGTGTGTTTCCACCACCACAGGTATCCCATATTTAAACGTTGTCTGCGAATGAGGCTAGGAAACGATTATGTTGAAATGAATATAGATCGTACATATTACACACACAAAGGAATCAAGACGAAGCGCTGTGCATAAAGCTCAGTCTGTCGTGAAAAGACAATAGTTTTATACAGAGCGACTTGTCTTAAATTTCCTTTTTTTTTTTTTACTTTTGAGGGGAAATGCGCAAATCAGCTATTCAACTAAGAAATATTCAACCAACTCATATATTTGTGTCTTGTGTAGAATTTCGCCAAGGTATTGGACTCAATTCGTACTATCATATTGGCTACTGATCTTGCACATCACTTGAAAATACTAAAGGATATCAGACGCATGGCTCAAGGTAATGGTTTAATTTGTGATTTGCTCTGGAGGCTCAATAAAGTCGATGTGTGCTTCTTGATTGATAAAGACTGAGCTGTACCATGTGGGATAGGCTCGGAATTCATATAAGAGCATGCGCAGATCTTTGTTTACTTATTGCATWTGCTTCTCGATTGACTCGGTGTTAGATGACATCGACATGTCTGCTTATACTGCTCAGTCTTTTGTTATAATGGACACTTATAGGAACCTTAGCTTTAAAAGTGCGCACAATAAACGAATCCGGTGTAAATAGAGTTATTTGCCTGGGGATTTATGTCAGTATCCTAARTAAGGGGTTGTCCGTTTTATCGGGGTATAAGGGTGGATCCAACTGAAATTTTAAGGGGGGCTAAATGGGCTTTATTTGTTATAAACAACATTGAAAATAATAAGAAACAGTTTATTTTTTCATGCTCAAACGAGGGGCTGTAGCCCCCCTTTGCCGTACGGCATTACATTCACCTCTTGCGTTTCAGACTCCACGATATTACGGACATTAACGATATCCCTTTACAGAAGATACTCGCCATTGTCGACACTTAATTAGGGTTCCAAGGGAATCAGTTATATTTAGAGTTGTCTGTAACTGGAATGGTTACTTTCTCAATTCTATGAAACCAGCTGTATTCGCTTTTTGTTTTGTAGTTATTGATTGTATGATATTTGCAGATGGTTACAAGTCCGATCGAGAGGATCATCACAAGCTGCTACTTTGTTTAATGATGACAGCAAGTGACTTGTCCGATCAAACGAAACCATGGAAAGGAACTAGAAAAATTGCAGTGAGTAATACTTTATATTTTATCTGATAGTACCATTGATGCTATCATCATCATCATCATCATCATCGTCTTGTCAACATGGTCCACCAGCATTCACTGCGGTCGTATTTTAGATTTTTCATACACGGAAAATGAGGTGACTTCAACTATCCATTCGCAAGCTGTTTTCCGAATCTTGCAATACCTCCATTCATACAGCGTACTGAAAGGGACAATTACGGATGAATATCTTGCTTATATTACGATGTATTGATATTTTCATACATAAACAAAAGCGCGAAAGGGATGCCGGTGGTTCATGGGCCTTTATGTATCATTTATATTGATATTTTCTACGGGGAAAATACAGTGACAAATAAGATTATATAAATGAAATTGTGAGTTTCTAACATAAAGTTAATTATGTGTTCTCTCTTAGGATCTAATTTACACCGAGTTCTTTTCCCAAGGCGATTTGGTAAGTGGCGTACTCGGCCCTTATGGTTCTCAAATCCTCGTTAGTTTAATAATTCTCTCTTTAKGTCTTCTACAAGATTTTGCGAAACATCAATAGAATTCTAAATATCCTAACACTGTTTGGATTTGATATTTTAGGAAAAAGTGATGGGTTATACGCCGAGTGAAATGATGGATCGTGAAAGAGCTTGTATCCCGAAACTTCAGATCGATTTCCTGGAATCCATTGCTTTTCCAGTTTATTCGTAAGTAGATTATATATGAAGACAGGTCATTGAGATAAACATCTATATCATCAATAAAGTTTAAAGAGCCGAACACATCTATTAAAAAGCAATCGGAGTGTATTCGGACTGCATTCGCAGACCCATCGGAGGTAWAAATTGGATTCCGGATTCATTGCGCAGAGACCTTACCAAAAACAAAAGAAAGCACGAAAAAATGTTGTCATTACGATAGCCCTACAAAATCGCATCTTCGATTTGAGGCTAAACTTGTAATTCCAGAACGCTCAAACTCTAGGTCTTGTGATTTCTTTTGTTCTCTATGCAGGTGAGTCTGTTGTTTACTAAAACAGCGGTCGCTCGCRTTGAAAGGGAAAAACGGTTATTTTGGCCTTGCATTGACAACAAATGAAAACACTGATTCAAGAATACAGTACCGTCACTTCATGGTATTGGCAAGGCACGAATTCGAGTGCCGTGTTTTTCGCACAGTCATACAACAAATCCGCACGGCCAATCCGCACGCTCTACTTCATTTTAATGAAGTCCATACTTTAGTGCAATGCCGGTGAGCCAATGGACGTCGCTTAGTGCTCTTTTGTTTTGTAGTGCCCTGGGTGACATCATCCCAGAGACGAGTGTCGTCCATGAATCCGTCTTGTCAAATCGCGATCACTGGAAAGTTGTACAAGAAGAAAACGAGCAGAAAGGAGTCATTGAAAAACTGTAATGAATGGAAAGTGACAAGATGGTATTTTTACGAAGATTTCGAGGCCCATTCAAGGTGCTTGGGGCGCGGTATAGGTACCAAATATTTACAAAAACCTGGGTAGACAACTTGGATAGAAATATATTGTTTTGCTATTTTATATAAATGATTGAAAGAAAAACCTGGAAAACAGTGGGACGCAAGTGATAACTTGACTCTTTCTAACCAGGTATTAATTGATCCAGGGCCGGGTCGTTCAAACCCAATTAGTTTAATCCTGGGCTAAATCCAAGCTAACCCAGGACTAGCGTAAACAACTTTGAATTACTCGACCCTGATGTTTCACGCGTTAACCCATCGTTGGGCTAAAAAAGATGAAAAATATAAACCTCAATAATTTTTTTTTTTAGTATTGTTCTTGAGTTACCGCGAAAGAGTTTGAGACGAGGCTTCGCGCACTTCAATTTTTTTATGGACATTTCAAAAACTGCCTCGTTCCAATACTAGTAATTCTAAAAGATGTATACTTCTTGTACTTCAAAATGACTCGCAACAGAAAAGGTAATGATACCATGCTCCGCTTACACGACAAAATGACTAGCAATAACAAACTTCGCCATCCGTGTCGACGCTRTAYTAGGACAAATCGTGCCGCAGAGAAATTGCCGCCGCTCAGATTCCGCGACAAATTTGCTTGTGTAAATAGGCCATGAAATATGATGAATTAGCCAATTTTATTGATATTACACGAGAATATTCTTCCATAATCCCGTAAAGCAAAGCGTAACAATGTGTGACTCACTCAAAAYATAAAGAAAAAAGTGCCAAATTAATTGTATTACGCTGAAGTCTATTTYACGGGTCTATGAAAACCACGCTATGATTGACGTTATTACTGTTTATCGTATAATTATCAATGAAATACCTATAATTCTCACTTTTGAAAATTAGTTTTTCACCAGTGAAATTACAAACATATCCGTGGTACCACTATATACTGGAGGTAAATAAAGAATATATATGCAATATTTACAACAATAATAATGATAATTATATGACAAACAGAATATTACATGCTCGCTTGGAGATATGGATTTCATCTTCTCGTGTTGAAATCTCTCTATCGTTCGCTACGCTCACTCGTGAGAGWTYTTTTCAACACCCGAAGATTATTTTTTAGGAAAATATACCAATAGAAGTACTCAAAGCTGACGACAAAAGTCTTGATTGTATGATATACGAATCGTATGTTCTTTTTGTAAATCTGTTTTTTGCGCTGTTTCGAAAAGGAACGATGTATTTATTTGTCGGAGAATGTAAGATTTTTATCTCGAATCGTGCGTTATTTAAAATTATAATTCAACAACAATTTTTTCTTTGCTCTCATTTGTTGAAAATCGAGCACGTGAGACGATAGTATACATCCCCGACCTTGAGGGGTACTATCAGTGTATAGAGCATGCCGCTCAAGAAAAAAAATTGTTGTTGAATATTAAAAACAATAGAGCAGTTTAAATCTCGGGCATTATGCTGAGATAGTTGCCCTTGGAAACTGGATGTTACTCAAAACTTCGTAATCCTTCTCAGGCGACTATTTGTTTATGGAACATCAAGGTTTCGCGGGCAACTATTACAGCATAACGACCTCAATTAAACTAGTCTATTGTTTAAATAGGAACTTTCAGACCAACCTAGTCTTCTTTRCAGCCGTTACTTTGRTGARGCTTTCGAGGAAAGGGGCGACTTCGAAGAAGACTAGATTCGACCATGAAAATTAAAATACAATTACAGTAGTAATTAGGCCATATTTTTGTCGTTTGTTTTTAAAGTGCACGCCTTTTAGRAAACCAATTTTATCCAAAAGGTAACTCGATGCCAAGTACTTCTGTGGTGAAAGAAATTGATTTTAAATTGTATTTTCTGAGTTAAAGACATATACAAATGAAGTGACGTCAACCAAGGAATTGGTCCAGWCTTTTTACATTGTTTGTGTTATGTTGTTTATGGTTTGAAGAGCTCAAAACATCAATCAGTAATTATTTGTGAGCTGAAATGCTCTTGGCCATAACTTAGAAAATACACACAGATGTACTTAGCAGCATTTTCTCTTTTGGATGAGAATGAATTTYTAATGGTGCCATGTGCAGTTTAAGCAGGACTACTACTTGCAGTTGTATTTTACTCATGGTCTGGTGTGAAATTCTCTCAATTCCCTTGGACTGAGTTATTGTCTAAGTATATTTACGGTTTTCTATGTTAGTTATTAATATATTTAGTGCTTCGTTTTGCACATGTGATTAAACGATATTAACATTATTATTATTATACAAATAATATGCGCGGACAAAGGAGCCGCGGCTATGCTATCAGAAATACGAGATATTATTTATTCACGAAATAAAGTATTTGTTTGAGAAAAAAATGGGCTCTTTTTTAACAAAATTCGTGAAACACCAATATTCACGCTATAGAGCGGAGTGGGAAACGGACGGTACTGTACGGTGACCGTAATCGTACTGTAACCAAATTCTGTGTGTCCCATTGGTTCACCAAAATTCTGCAGGCCAGGTCCGGTAACTGTGCGATAACCGTGCGGTAACGTTGTCCCACTCATACGAAATCCGCTCTAAGTGTACCAATTATTTACCTTCCCATGATCCCTTCCGGTCCTGGTTTCGATGAACCCGATGTTATGTCATTATTTGTATATGAACGTAATAGCTGCATCTTGTGTAGCACAGCTCCCAGAGACCAGTCTTCTTCGATGTGATCTTGTGAYGCCTTTAAGACTGTGATAGGCGTAAAACGGTCAAAATGATAGGCTCGTGTTAGCATTGTGTAAAAGAAGTTACCGTTCAGACAACCAGTAGTGCTAGCCGGCATATCATTAGACGGAGTTTTGCCAGAGCAATATTTTCGCACGGCCGCGTCTATTTTAGCGACATTGAAGGTACGTTTGCAGTCGTGGCATCCAAACTTTTCCACCACAGGAACGATTTCTTTTAAAGCGTAAAATATGACGCTTCTCCGTGGCGTTATCATGTACGGGCTTTGGGATGGTGCATCGTACTTCTCTAAAATGACTTTCTGTATGACTTTACGACACTTGTCCACGTYCCCAGTTCCTGTCATGTTGTATTCYTTGCCGGAGTCTGTGACATGTAGTTGTATGCCAGGTGGGGAGCAAGGACTTGTGATGATTTTGCTTGCAGTACTTGGATCATTAGGCAAACCCCCAATATGTTCAACTCGTCGTGTTGTCATGGTATCCGTATTCATAAAAGCACTGCCTTTCACATCCATATCCGAAGGTATCTCTTTATCTGACAAGACTTCCATTAATGTAGGTATGTCGAGATGTGAATAACTGGCAGTACTTGATTGGCTTTTTTTGAACGGTTTACCCTTCGTAAGGCTCTGAATATACAMTCTTAATCCTTGATTTAAGCCATTTTCAGTGAARGATCCTGCGGCGAGTAGAATGGTGTCCCCACCAACAGACACAAACTCGGTGGCGTTCGAATCCATGTTGTAAACGGGAAAGATAATTTGAGACATCAAGTTGGAGTTCATGTTGATTAGCCCCATATTATTCGCGAGGTTGCGATTAGAGGGAAGTAGATTCCCTGCCAGAAAATTTGCTGCTAGCCACCTATACATCATCTCCGCGAAACCGTTGATTTTCCCTAGCGAATTTGAGCTTGGAGGCAAAAAGGGGTKCTTTTTAGTGTCTTTCATGAATTTCTTTACTYTCATGAGAACTTTTCCRAAAGCAAAATCGTCGGTGTCTTCCATGGTWACGGAACATAAAAAGAACAWTGGAGTTCCARAAAGGAATTCCTTGGGAATTTCYTTTTTCGCTGCTGTTACTAACGTGTTTAGGATAGAATCAATGTCCTTGGGCGASCGTGCAAGCTTTGTTATTTCCATTGGAATGCTTCCAGGATTAACTTTGAGTTGTTGGATGTCTGATGGTGTGGTGATGGRGTTGCCTTTGTGCCGGTTTATTTTGTATATTTTCATGACTATCTGGTCGACTCTTGCTGTAATGACTATTGCGTAATCCGTACATGGCCCATTGCAAGCATTTAGTTGACCTGTTCACAAATGTAAAGTAAGTATAAAATAAAAATAAAATAGAATAAAAGTGACGATGATGAGAGTTTCTTTTTTCCACTTGTCATGTCATGTTTGTTTTGGTGAAGTGCATTATATATTAAGAAACAGCTAAAGACTTTTATTATTCATACGAATTATTCATTTTAGCATTTTTTAGTATCATTTTCAGCCAACTTTTACATTTTTATAATTATGTGTATTATTATATTTTATTATATGTATATATTTCTTGTAGTTATGCGAATGTGAATATTTCATAGAATATGCGCAATATAAATATTAAATATCATTAACACTTATCTTAAGGCCGGTAAGTCGCACTGGCGATTTTTGATGCGTTTTTTGTAGCGATTCAGTCAGGCGATTTTTAAAACTACAATAGAGATTCTTATCCTTGTGTGGTAAAGTTTAAAACTGCCAGTGTTAACGGCCCTTTTCRAAACGTGTTGCTTCAACGGTTTTCTGACATCTTATTCCCGGACGCACYAGCAGGAACGACCGCTTGACTAACTTCTCTTCAGTGATTACAATAGGCAATGTGTATGCCATTTTGTGCAGCAAAATGATAGTTGTAGTCCTCGTACTTTTTTATTTCCGCTACAACAGTTTTCCTATTCAAACCCATTTGAATTGGTAATATGATCCCTGGGGATTTGACTAAATGAATATACAGCTATTTCAAAAAACGTCGGTGAGAACGGCGATTGTCGAAGGGAGATTGCACGCGGCCGAAAGGGACTATGGTTACACTATTTTAACAAACAAAATTTCACTTATTGGATTCACCTTGCCAAAAAATGGAGACTAAATGGAACTAATCTTTACCACAAACCATCTTACAGTACAAATCAGTTGTTATTGCCTTTCAACTACCAAAACCCATGACTACTTGCGGTCGTGCATTCACCGTTCGATCATTGACATTCGCCATTTTATCCGACAACCTTTTTTGATAAATAGCTATATAAAGAGATACATGCACAGGCGCGTAGCGTGAACTTTTTGGCTGGTACGCACATGTCAGGGACCGCGACACGTATTTTTGATCTGGGGGTCTAACAAACCGCCAAAGGCGGGAGTATAAGGGGATTCTGGACCTCCACCAGGATATTCTGAAATAACAACTTTTGGAAATGCGTTTTCCAGCGTTTTGAGACTGACATCGAGAGCATACAAAAGGGACCATCAATTTTATGTGAATTTTTCAGTAATTTTTGTGAAAATTTTGATATTTCCTTGCCACTAGTACGCATGTGTAAAAATGCGCAAAGGACGCTACGCGCCAATTTTGTTCCAGAGCACGCGTTCCTCTTACGCGGGCTCTGGAACGAGATTGGCTACGCGCCTGATGCACCACCCATTCACTTCACGCTTGTCTGCGAAAAGATCAGATCGCACCCACACTCAGCCCTGTGTGAGTCGGGCTTGGAACCGACACCAAACCATTTCGTTTGACCATGGCGTGCATCCGGGCCAGGCGAATCCCCAACTCTAATTATCATAATAATACCCAGGGAGAAATATTACACAATTAAACTAATGATATCTAACAGCACATTAAAATACAACTACTTGCGAAAACGTTGTCATAAAAAAATAGGACATTTGTATTTTAGTAAAAAGGAATAAATTATAAAGACAAAAGAAGATCACTGAGGCTGAACGCTTTCTTTTGTTTTGCTTTAATTTATTCCTTTTTACTAAATTCGAATGTTCTATTTTCTATGACAACGTTTCTTCAAGTAGGTGTACATATAACAATTTTAAAATATCTTTAGAATGTTAATAAATACATTTTTTTTATTTATAAACTGACGGGCAATCATTTCCAAAAGAAATTCTGGCCTTAAAACCACAACCTTTAATGTGATGTACCTGTATGCATTGAAACGACGAGTRTTATAAAATTTCTATATATTTACTCTCCAGTAGAATTTTATATATACATGTTTCAAATAGAGACTTAAAAGTGGAAATTTCACWTCATATTCTTACATTTGCTTCAATAGTTGTTTATTAATGACTGGAGCGATCAAGCAAGTAATGTCGACTTTTCATGCTAGTACCAGAYGCCCTAGAGTGTATTTTGATATTTGATATATATATATATATGTGCGACAACCTTTTTGAAATACATATATATTTAGTTTGCGCTACTATGTGCAATGCAAGTACTTCGTGAGAAACGGATAACGGATGTACACAGGCTATTGTATTTAACGATAGATGAATTTCCAGCTGATAAGAATAAAAAGACTCTGAAATCAATATAAATTGCAATCATTACTCACTAACACGGGCCAGTTTGATCTACAGGAAAGTGAGTGAGCGAGTAGGTGACAAACGCGCTTCTACAATATAACACTTCGATTTCTAACGCATCTTCGAGTTAAAAAAAAGGAAAAARCAAGGTAGCTGATTAATGACAAATGACTTTATGTAACAAAACCTTAACATACACGTATACAACATCCGCTGCCTCACAAGTCGCGTGATCTCCCATGTTTTAAAGGCAATCGGAAAAATCTGCCGTGCTTGTGTATAGAACAGTGTCAAACAGTATTATTTCGGTTACTTTTCAATTTCTCTTTTTCTATTAATTGAATTCAAGTTGTCCTGTCGATTTTTCAAAACAAAAAACAAAAAAAAAAAAAACGATTGTCTGATGTTTATAGTTTTACGTGTCTAAGGTTTAGGCTGCCTGACTTTAGACACTCCGTATTTTAAAAGCAACGATAAGACGGCGAAACAAGACAAGAGAGACGGAAGCGCACCTGTTTTTGTTACAGACGCTAGTTGAACTTTCACTGCAAAACTTGCACAAAGAAACAGGGTGATTCTGGATACGAGGGAATATTTACGTCTGTTAGCCATATCTAAAAGATAAAATTATATTTACGTTAATGTTAACATGAATTGCTTTGAATATAGTAGCGGCTGTAGAATTGTACTATCGGCAGTAACAGTAGCAGCAACAGTAGCAACAGTTTTCAGAGGACCAGAAGTTTACCCTTAATTATATAGTGTCCTGGCTCTTTATGTGATCCCATACAACTAGGATAAGTTTTGAGCAACGTTAAACTTTGATTACTAGTAAGCAAAATCATTTCAGACTTACGCGTTTTTCCGAGTTTTTTTTGGCTCTCCCTTGCAAAAAAGGTGCAGTTCAATTGTGAGTGGTGAAATATCATCTGCATTTTAAATATTCACGAAAAAACAGGTAGTTGACCTTTTGTGTTTCACACCTGTGATCGACTAACATAGACTAAACGTGCTTCATAACTCAGCCAATGTGTGATTACC